ACATACTTGCCTAGAATGTTACAGTTACCTCCACCTGTGGAAAGAATGCTGAAGTTTTTCTTTCTAATCTTGTTCTTTTCAAAACATGTAACACTGGTAATCAATACTGTCCCTCCACATCCCTGGACAGAGGTTTCAGATAGTTACCTCTGCATTGGACTCCTCCACCCTACATTTCAGTCCCTCTGGTTGCACTGCCATGGTCTTCCAACAGGTCCTTAGGTGACTCTGGAGAAGGAAGGTTGCCCCCTTTGTGACATAGCAGCAGTCGACACAATCCCATCAGGAGAACCCCACCAAGGAAACGGCTGCTTAGCAGGAGGAGAACTGAGAATCTCCAGCCTGTCAAGACTTCATCCTTTCATTGGTCTCTGCTCTGAATCCCTTGTGCCCACCCCCTTACACTCTGTCTTGGGTAAACAGCAGGCCTTCATTCTCTTGACATTTCTAAATGACCCTGTAACCCGGTGTATGTACTAGGTTTTCTTCTCATGGATTGAGTTATATGTATTTGATTGCAAGCCCCAGTTCTGATTCTCCTCCAAAAACCCAGAGTGGTGGCACGAGTACCAAAACACCTAATTTTCAGAAGATTGGCTTATTTCAGAGTGTCATGTGTTAGGGCTGGAAGGTCTTACCAGATCACCTAACCCACCCTCACCTAACCCACCCTCTTCATTTGAGGAATGAGGGACCCAAGACCCACAGTGGCTAAGTGGCCTCCCTGACACACACAGCTGGTTGGCAGCTGACACACAACTAAAATCAAGGTCTTGACTACTCTATAGATGTCATTTTATAACATCTTGCTAGAGTTTTGAAAGAAGAGGGATATACTGGCTAAAACTGATACTTTACATCCTTCTGTGATTATCCATACCTGAGGTAGAACCACATTGATTGGGATTTCTAGGTTTTCAAATCTGGTATCTCTTTTTCTTGTAAAATGTGGCCTTGAGTGCTGTGGAAAAGAGAAAATAAGATGTCTGCTTCCCAGCCCATCATCTGGGCCTCACTCACTCATCTGTAAAACACAGGAGTTTCTACTCACTTACCTCCTCTTGCAAATTATGTACATTATGAAAAACTGAGTTTGAAAGAATGTGAAGATGATATCTGATAAGGGGCTTTATCAACATCTGAACAAAAGTTAAGATAGGTATTGTGGTTGGTGTCAAAGCCTTCCAAAAGCCTTTGGAGCAGAGATACCTACACCTAGTATCTTTTTAAGATGATTATTTTTATCTCAAGTAAAAAGCCATACCAGTGTCAGGTGCCAGGTATAGGTCCTATGCAGAAGTTGGTCACCAAAACACTCAGAACATTCCAGAGGTGACATCACAAAACAATATAGTGCTTTTCAAGGCTCATGGTCTCTGTCTCTGAGCATCTCAGGCAGGAATGAGGCATCTGGCAGTCAGAAAAAGCTCACCCTGGTGTGTCCACTTGCCTGGTCAGGGTCAGTGTGACACATAATAGTCCAAACACTAGCCCCCTATTTGGTCATTCTGGCTGCCATTTGCATCCCTCCTGCTAGGTGGGGCTCAGATCCCTATCCTTTCTTCAGAGGTGACATCGTCTACTTGTAGTTGGATTACTCAACAAGGAAGAAACCCTAACTGAATTCTTTCCAGACTGAGAAAAAATGAAATGCGGTATGTTGTCTGACACCAACCAGTTCTCCAATTCTCTGACACCAGCTGGACATCCTGAAATTCCACTCAATTCTAACACAATCTATCTGTAGTTAGAATCAGATCCCAAAGTTAACGGCTTGTTCCCACAAGACTGCCCCTAATTCAAATGCCTGGGCCATGAATATTTCTGACTAATTGGCTACATCAGAGATTCCCACAACCCCCTCCTCGGGTTTGATAATTCGATAGAATAGCTCACAGAACTAAAAAAAAAAATAACAACCACACTTTACTTACAATTACTGTTTTATTATAAAAGATGCAGCTTGGGAACAGCCAAATGGAAGAATTGCTTAGGGCAAGACGGAGAGAGATGTAAACCTTCCATCCTTATTCACTGACACATCAGCCTCCCAGCATCTCCATGTGTTCACTAACCTCGAAGCTCTCCAAACCCTGCTGATTAGGTGTTTTTATGGAGGTTCCACCACATGGTCATGATTGATTAAATCATTGGTCTGTGGTGATTGAAAATTTCCAGCCCACTCCCACCCCCTTTTCCAGAGGCAGGGCACAGGGGGCTGACAGTACCCACCGTCTAACCCAGCCGTGGGCAAACTACGACCCGCAGGCCGGATCCGGCCCGTTTGAAATGAATAAAACTAAAAGAAAAAAAAAAAGACCGTACCTTTTTATGTAATGATGTTTACTTTGAATTTATATTAGTTCACACAAACACTCCATCCATGCTTTTGTTCCGGCCCTCCGGTCCAGTTTAAGAACCCATTGTGGCCCTCCAGTCAAAAAGTTTGCCCACCCCTGGCAGGGTTGATTCGCCTGACAATCAGCTCCAATCCCAAAGCTAGCTAGGGGCCTCACTAGGAGTCACCTTATTAGCATACACTTATGTGCTCCAAAGGGGCTCCTTATGAATAATAAAAGACACATCTATCACCCAGGATATTTTAAGGGTTTTAGGAGCTCTGTACCAGGAACTAGGAACAAAGACCAAATATATATTTTTATTCTGCCATATGTATAAACTGCATCAAGACCACAATGCTGATAACTGGGCTTTGTGAAGGGGGCAGCCCCGCCCCCATGACCTCAATTTTGTCCACTCTTTTGCCTCTAGTGACTGTTAGTGCAAGCCCTCTTGTGTATCTTGAGCCTCTACTAAGGCAGAGAGCTCCAATTCCACATTATTATGCCATATGCAGGGGAAGAGAGTGGTAAGTTGAGGTCAGCAGATTCAAGCACACCTAAATGCCAATGGAGTCTCCCACACCCAAGTTACAAGCAAGTATCACTCTACGAAAATCTAATATACAGCAGTTCAAATATAAAGCAAGAAGGTAATTAATAACATGATCAAAGAATTCCTCATTTTATTTTTTATTTATTTTTTTTTTTTTGGTTTGACAATCTGTTTGAGGCAGCTCTGCCTCTGTATCTATTATTGTTCAAAAGTTTATAATGGTCTCTATTATCCATGAATGAGTGAGCTCATGTGGTATTTTTCCTTCATTGACTGGCTTATTTCACTTAACATAGTGCTCTCCAGTTCCATCCATGCCGTTGCAAATGGTAAGAGTTCCTTCCTTTTTAGAGCAGCATAGTATTCCATCGTGTGAATTCCTCATTTTAAATGGGAATTTCTCCAAGGGTGTTTTTTTTAATTGAAATTAAAATTTTGTTTTTAAATTGTAGTTATAAACACAACATTAAATTTACTATCTTAAATATTTGTAAGTATACAGTTCATCAGTGTTAAGTATATTCACATTGCTGTGCAATAGAACTTTTTCATCTTTCAAAACTGAAACTCTATGGCCATTAAACACTAACCCAACACCCCCCACCACCACCCCCTACATCTCCCCTGCCCTGGCAACCATCGTTCTACATTCTATTTCTATGACTTTGACTATTTTAGATACCTCATATAAGTAGAATCATACCGTATTTGTCCTTTTGTGACTGGCTTAATGGCTTAGCATCATGTCTTCAAGATACCTTCATAGCAGGTATGTGACAGGATGTCTTTTTTTAAGCTGTATTAATATTTTTTATTTATATACCACATTTTATTTATCCATTGATGAACATTTAGACTGTTTTAACTATTACTATTGTGAATAATGTTGCAATTAACACAAGTATGCAAGTATCTCTTTGAGATCCTGCTGGAATTTTTTTTGATATATACCCAGAAGTGGGATTGCTGAATCATATTCAGTTTTATTTTTACTCTTTTGAGAAATCCCTGTACTTTTTTCCACAGAGGCTGCACCATCATTTGACATTCCCACCAACAACACATAAGGGTTCCAATTTTTCTGCATCCTTGTCAATATTCATTGTTTTCTGTTTCTCCAAGGTTTTCTTTCTTTTTTTAAGTTCTCACCCAAGTATATTTTTAACAATTATTTTTAGACAGAACAGTAGGGAGGAGAGAGAGAGAGAGAGAGAGAGAGAGAGAGAGAGAGAGAGAGAGAGATGGGAGAGACACATTGATTGGTTGCTCCTGCACACACCCCAACTGGGGTTGGGAATTGAACATGAAACCGAGAAAACACAGTTCAGTTTTCTCTTATACACACATCTCATTAAAACACCTTCACATCTACCTTTGAGGATGAGCTAGGAAGACAAAACAGAGAAAGAAGTAGCTGTTTTCATTTACTAGGGCAGCCCAAACAAAGGGCCATGAACTGAATGGCCTAAAACAATAGAAATTTGTTGTCTCACAGTACAGTTCTGGGGGCCAGAGGTTCAAAATCAAGGTATTGGCAGACCTATGTTCTCTCTGAAACCCGGAGAATTCTTCCTCACCTCTCTCCTAGTTTCTGTGGTTGTTGGAAACCCTTGGTCTTCCTTAACTTGCAGAGTAGCATTTCAGCCTCTGCCTCTGTCATCACATAGGTTTTCCCCTCAAGCGTCAGTATCTGTTCTCTTCTTATAATACGACCAGTTATATTGGGTTAAGGTCCACCCTACTCTTGTATAACCTCATCTTAGCTAATTATATTTGCAATGACACTATTTCCAAATCAGATCCAATTCTGAGGTATTAGAGGTTATGACTTCAACATACCTTTTTGGGAGGACAAAATTCAATTCATAACAGAAACTAATATTAACTGAACACCTAATGAGCATCAGCACTGTGCTCAGCACTTGATATGTTATTTCACTGCATTAGAGCCACTGCTATGTAGGAAGGTCCTACCATCCATCGTTGGGATATAGTCCACCCTTGGGGGTCCCTAAACCCATCATGCGGCCCATCTCCAGCAGATAGAACCTCTTCCTCCCACAGGAGGCACCTCTAGTGCCAAGGAGCACATGCTCTACCCCATGGACAAAAGACTCTGCCAATAAGCCCAATGTATTTTATTACTATTATATATTATTCATATGTGTTATTTACATTATACTATTTTGCCTACTATTAGTCCCACTGCCTTCCCTGATCTTTTGGCCTCTGGCCCCTAGTTCCCTCCAGGGTGATAAAATCCTTACCCTGGGCCTGTCCTGAGGCCATATCTAGAGAACTTACCCCATTTAAGTTCCTTTGTGGTTTTCTAAAGTTTCATCTGTGATATCATGGGGAGCTTATGGTACAGTTCATCCTAGAAAGGAAGTCTTACTATTGGATGATCACAAAACTCCCAGGGTCCAGGCAATGGTGCAAATCATTTCCTTCCCCATTGCACCACCAACTGGTCAACCAGAGATCTCCTCTGATGGATGTCCGGGGTCTGTCTCTTTGTAGGCTCTCTCCTTCCTCACCTCCACCATAGTCGTTTGCCTCTCTCTTCAGAGGCCTGGCCCCCACGTAAGGGGCAGCCACATGTCTGGCTGATAGTGATGGCTCTCAGACCATAATAGTAACTCATCACCCACCATTATCTGATCAAAGACCCTACCTACCCTATCCTGTGAGGGAAAGTGCCGTGGGGCGGGGGATGGGGGGAGGGAACGAAAGAAAGCAATGAACACCTGGACAGTCCTACCACATTAGCATGAAAATAACTTCTTTTCCTAAACTCAAAGGACTAGCAAAATGAATGAGATACAAATAGCAAGGTCATGGACACTGGCGTCACTCAGCAGACCTGTGTGCAAATCTGAAGGCCAAGAAATAGTTAATTACCATGTGTCTTAGTCAGCTCTGTGTGCTATAAGAAAATACCATAGGCTGGATGGCTTAGACAACAAACATTTATTTCTCATAGTTCTGGAGACTGGAAGTCCAAGATCAAAGTGCCAGAAGATTTGGTTCCTGATGAGACCCACTTCCTGGCTTGCAGATGGCCACTTCTTGCTGTGTCCCGACATGATGGAGAGTTCTGATTTCTTTTGCTCTTTTATAACACACTAATCCCATCCATAAGACTTCAGCTAAACCTAAATGAAAAGCCAAACCTCCAAATACCATCACACTGGGGGAGTAGGGCCCCAAAATAGGAATTTTGTGGGGACACAAATATTCAGTTCATAACACTGTGTGACTTGGGCAGGTCCTCCTATCTCTCAGAAGTTCAGTTTCATCATCCCCAAAATGAGGAAATCCTATCTAATTTTAAATAACCCACACAAAGCAGCCAACACTTAGCAAGCTTTCAATAAATAAGCATTGTTTTAGCACCCTGTACAAAATTGCCTTGCTGGCTTTGTCTTAAAATCTCAAGCAGCT